TACAGCAGCACCATGCCCTTGAACCTCTAAACCTATGCACAAAGTAAACATCATTATAGGATTAACCTGCCACAGATATTTCATCATAGCAACACCAAATAAACTAACAAAACCTCTTGGGCATATTTCTTGCATTTAATCAAAATGGCTACATGTTCCTAATGTATTAAAAACTGAGAAAGCACCATGACTGTAAGTTCAGCCAATCCTCCCAAGCAAATGAAAAGTAAAGCCTGCCTAACCTGCACTGGCCTTGAACACGCATCTTTCTCACCTTCCTAGCTTGCTCTTGCAAATGCTGGATTTGCTCGGCAATGACTGTCAGCTTGTTAGTAGCATTTGCTCGGATGAATTCATCAGCCTACAGAGGAGAGAAAACCAAACTGTAGGGTGAAAAGGCAAGTGGCACCTGTTGTCTCACTGAGACGCAATTAGAGGAGTTATACCAGGATCTGCTTCTACAGAAAGTTGTTCTTACTATTCCATCACCATGTAAATTTCCACCCACCCCAAGGTCCAACTCAAAAGAAGCCCACACTATAATGACTCTACACCCAGAATTAAACACTCCATCTATCTCCACTGTCGTTCACTCTCTAACCCTCATCTCCTGCCAAAAACCATGAGCATGCCCTCCATCTAATGCATCATTCCTTTTGCTCTCTGCATGACTAAACCTTCCCATTTCTCCCAAAACCCTCGTTTGGTTTTGTTTTCCCATTGTAGAACCCTGGCTGTTATGGAACTCACTAATGAACCCAGGCTAGCCTCACGCTTGCAATCTTCCTGCCTCCTCTTCCCAAGTATGAAGAATCTTCCTGCCTCCTCTTCCCAAGTATGAAGATTATTGGTGTGTGCCATCACATCCAACCCATTTGTTTTCAATGTTAGAACATTTTAAAGCAAAGAATGAATTTTGTGCCAGGTGGTGGTGGTGGTGGTGGTGGTGGTGGTGGTGGTGCACGCCTTTAATCCCAGCACTCAGGAGGCAGAGGCAAGTGGATCTCTGTGTGTTAGAAGCCAGCCTGATCTAAATCCAGGGCTACACACTGAGACTCTGTCTCAAAACAAACAACAAGAAAATAAAATTAAAAGATACTTGCGATGGACTCTGAACATCACCTCTGTTTGATCACCTACATCATACCTACCTAAAACTTCAACACACACAATCGATTTAAAAGGGGGAAGAGTAGCAAGAGATCGAGGAGGATCCTATAGCCCTTGGGGGAGAAAATGCATTTTGTTCTTAGGGCAAGAAAATCCATATAGCTAATGAAGAGACAGGCTGTTTCCATATGTAAGGCAGGTTCAGAATGGGAGTAACCTTATATCAAAACCCTTTCTCTGGTCCCAAAGAGTATTTAAAATTACTAAGCACTGATCCTGGACCCAACCATTCCAAGAACTTCTGCATTAATAACAACATCTAACTCTCCAGATACGATAACCTTACTTAGTCATTAAGACTCAAACAGGAAACAACTAAGGTTTTATAATTAATAAATGACAGTTGAAGGGTTAGAGAGATGGCTCAGTGGTTAAGAGCATGGCTGCTCTTCCAGAGGTCCTGAGTTCAATTCCCAGCAACCACATGGTGGTTCACAACCATCTGTAATGGAATCTGATCCCCTCTTCTGGTGTGCTTGAAGATAAGACAGGTCGTGTGTGTGTGTGTGTGTGTGTGTGTGTGTGTGTGTGTGTGATATATATGAGGGAATATATAAATGAATATTTTAAAAAATGAAGGATCTGAACACAGATGGATCTAATTCCAAAATCCACGCCTCAATACCAAATCTCCCAAAGCTTTCTGAACAGACATTAAGGGAGTCAGGAGTCAGTCCTCTTAGCAAGTGTATTTCAGTACATAGACAGTGAATATTCTGATTCACTTAGTTTTATATGGGTAAAGGTGTTTGCATGCATGTGTGTAGGTGTATCACGTCCAAACAATGCCCACAGTGGCCAGAAGAGAGCATTTGATTCCCCTGGGACTGGAGTTACAAATGGCTGTGAGTTGCAATGTGGGTGCTGGTAACTGAACCTGGGTCCTCTCCAAGAGCAATCAGTGCTCTTAACCATTAAGCCATTGCTCCAGCTCTCAATTTGCTTTTAAAGTGTGTTTTTTCTTCAGCCTCTCAAAGATGGATTATACTGGAGAATTAGAGGCAAGAGAATAATATAGCCTTTATATTTCACTAGATTATGGTATAGAAGACAAAAGCTGTGTTCCTTGTTTCTTTGGCTGAATCCATGATAGTCACTCAGATAAACTCAAAAGTGTTTGCCCAAAATTTTGTCTCTGGCTTTTGTGGTCTGACTAAACAGACACATGATTAGAATTCTTCTAATCCACAGAAGTTCTTTTTTGTTCCCATCTCATTTTTTGTTTGTTTGTTTGTTTTTTGGGTTTTTCGAGACAGGGTTTCTCTGTGGTTTTGGAGGCTGTCCTGGAACTAGCTCTTGTAGACCAGGCTAGTCTTGAACTCACAGAGATCTGCCTGCCTCTGCCTCCCAAGTGCTGGGACTAAAGGTGTGCATCACCAATGCCCAGCTTTGTTCCCATCTCTATTTTTAAAAAGGGGGGTAAGGTTTTAATTAAAAGGGCCTTCCTAAACGTTTGAATTCCTCTTAAATAAAACAGCAGACATAGTTTTATGTAAGAGATTTGAGCGCATTAATCATTTCCTTGATCAAAACAATCTTTTGAACAACAATCATTGCCAATAAGCTAGTTTAATCAAGAGGGAGGGGGACACTAGAAGTTTTTAAAGCAGCCAGGCTCTGATACTGAAAAGGATTCTACAGTTGAACATCTTGCTAAGAGATGAAAAGGAACCTAGGTTTTCTCTTAGACTAGGAGCTCTCCCACCTCAAACCTCTCATTTTACAGACTGGACCACCAGAGAGAAGCAATCTGTCCAAAGCTAATGTGTCCAAACTTATGCCTTTTCCCTTATCTTGCATATCTTCTTTATTCTACCTGTTACAGTAACCCATAACTAAGCTCTGGACATAGAAATACTGTATTCATTGGAATTCAGTAGGTGTAGCAGCCACACCCCTGTAACAACCCAGCATTTGGGACACTGAATAGGAAGCCAGTCTGGGCTATCCAACAAGATGAAACTGTCTCCGGTTTTTGTTGTTCTTGTTTTAATCTAAAGTGGGGATTTTACCCTATGCCTTTTTGCAGGTGGTACTGAGGATCAAATTCAACCTAGGCAAGTGTAACCACTAAGCTACACCCCCGGCACCAATTGTTTAAAGGAAGGAGAAAGCATATATTCAAGTCCCACAAGCTCTTAGGTAACAGATAAAGATTTTACGGGAAGCAGCACAAAATAATTGACTATTGAAGAATTTGGGATAATCTGGGATAGAAGCAGAGCTTGGTGGCGCCCGCCTATAATCCCAGGACTCCGGAGGCAGAGGCAGGTGGAACTGAGTTGGAGACCAGACTAGTCTAACAGTGGGTTCCATGATAACCCTGTATCAAAAACAACTGCAACAAAGAACTGGGGAGAGTGATCCTCTTCGTGTGTGAAATGAAATGGTAACCCGTACTTCCGAGCTCACTGGCTGACCTAAAGTGCAGATGAAATGTAAGGTCAGAGCTCAAAGACGCAGGGTAAAATACGGAGACAGCTATTCCTCACCTTTTGCACCTGCTCGGCGAGCGCCACGAGGTCTAAAGGGTCCCCGACCCTGTTGGTGTGGTAGGGGCTCACCAGAGCCAGGCCTCCGGGGGTCGGGGTGAGCTCCACCAGGGCTCCTGCGACACACACCCGGGAACACGGGCGTAAGTTGTAGCCCTCAACCTCCCGCGAGGCAGCAGAGACCAGCCACCCGGCTGCAACCGTATCCCCAGGTCAACCCAGTCCCACCTACCTCCAGGACCCGCCGCCTGCTGCACCCCCGGACTTGCCGTGCCTTTTTCCAACGGGCCGGGAGTCGCCGGGTCCTCCATGACAGCCCTTCAGCCCCACGGCCAGCGGCGGATGGTGTGGGGGGAGGAGCTCAGTCCGAGCGCAGGCGCACAACAGCTTGTGGGCGGAGCTTTCTCATTCGCGGGCCATTGAACGGCGTGCCTGAGCTTGGAGGCGGAGCCCCACGAAGAGCCGGTGTTCGGATTGGCTGAAAGCAAGAGGCGAGGCAAGCTTCCTGGCCACGGACTCCTGGACTGAGGCGTGGCTCGTCTCTGGCCGTGGCTTCTGTGGGGCGGGACTCTGGATTGTGCCCAAGGCGAGCTGTCCCGTTAAGTGAAGGAGCAAGGCCATGGCGGTGAGCGCCAGGAGGCTGCTGGCCGCGCTGCTGGCGGTCGCCGCAGCTGCCTCCTCGCGGGCCGCAGAGGA